CTCTCTCTCTCACTCTCTCTCACTCTCTCTCACTCTCTCTCCCACTCTCACTCTCCCTCTCCCTCTCCCTCTCTCCTCTCCCCTCTCCCTCTCTCCCTCTCTCCCTCTCTCCCTCTCTCCCTCTCTCCCTCCCTCTCTCTCTCTCTCTCTCTCTCTCTCTCTCTCTCTCTCTCTCTCTCCCCATCCATCCATCCATCCATCCATCCATCCATCCATCCAGCCAGCCAGCCAGCCAGCCAGCCAGCCAGCCAGCCAGCCATCCATCCATCCATCCATCCATCCATCCATCCATCCTATCCATCCTATCCATCCTATCCATCCTATCCACCCTATCCATCCTATCCATCCTATCCATCCTATCCATCCTATCCATCCTATCCATCCTATCCATCCTGTCCATCCTGTCCATCCTGTCCATCCTGTCCATCCTGTCCATCCTGTCCATCCTGTCCATCCTGTCCATCCTGTCCATCCTGTCCATCCTGTCCATCCTGTCCATCCTGTCCATCCTATCCATCTTGTCCATCCTATCCATCCTATCCAACCTATCCAATCCTTTGCAACCCTATCCATCCTATCCAACCTATCTACCTATCTACCTATCTATCGATCCATCGATCTATCAATCTATCAATCTAGCTGTCTATCTATCTTATCGTATCCTATCTTATCCTATCTTATCTTATCTATCTTATCTACCTTATCTACCTTATCTACCTTATCTACCCTATGTATCTTATGTATCTTATGTATCTTATCTATCTAATCTATCTAATCTATCTAATCAATCTAATCTATCCAATCTAGCTAATCTATCCAATCTAGCTAATCTATCCAATCTAGCTAATCTATCTAATCTATGTTATCTATCTATCTATCTACCTATCTATCTACCTATCTACCTATCTATCTACTCTTATCTAAACTTATCTAGTCTTATCTAATCTAATCTTATCTAATCTTACCTAATCTTATCTAATCTAATCTCATCTAATCTGATCTAATCTGATCTAATCTTATGTAATCTTATCTATCTATCTAATCTTATCTATCTAATCTTATCTATCTAATCTTATCTAACTAATCTTATCTAATCTTATCTATCTAATCTTATCTATCTAATCTTATCTATCTAATCTTATCTAATCTTATCTAATCTTATCTTATCTAATCGTATCTTATCTAATCTTATCTAATCTTATCTTATCTATCTTATCTTATCTATCTTATCTTATCTTATCTATCTTATCTATCTTATCTTATCTATCTTATCTTATCTATCTTATCTTATCTATCTTATCTTATCTTATCTATCTTATCTTATCTTAACTTATCTTATCTTGTCTATCTATCTACCTATCTACCTATCTACCTATCTACCTATCTACCTATCTACCTATCTACCTATCTACCTATCTATCTATCTATCGATCGATCCATCGATCCATCGATCCATCGATCCATCGATCCATCGATCCATCGATCCATCGATCCATCGATCCATCGATCCATCGATCCATGGATCCATGTATCTATCCATCCTTCCATCCATCCATCCATCCATCCATCCATCCATCCATCAACCCATCGACCCATTCACCCATCCATCGATCTATCTATCTTTCTTTCTGTCTTCAAATACACACCTTGTATCCCTACATGTGCCTTAATCCAACCCTCAACAGACTTTAAATAGACATTAAACCAGCCCTAAATAACCCTAAATAGCCTAAATAACCCTAAATAAACCCTAAACCAACCCTAAATTCCTTTAGGCCTTGCGGCCAGGTGCGCCACGAAGTTTTTTTTTTTTATTTTAATGATGGTGTTTCTTTGATCATCTTTACATATGTGCTCATCTAAAAGCAGGGTGGTGTTAGGTGTGAGTTGTGTTTGAAAAATATCATTTCTGCTTAGGTGTATGCGCACCTTAAACAGCAGGCATTGTTAGACGCAAGCTCTAGTAGATGTAAATTGTGTCAAGTGAAAGTCAACTTCTGCTTAAGTAAAAGCTGTGTCAAGTTGTTGAAACTTTCGCTTAAATTCAACGGATGCTGCCGGCGGTGTGCCTAGCGAACATGCGATCCATCTGTTTTTGTTGAAAATAGTGCGCTGATGCAATGGGTGAGTGCCTTGGATAGATTGAAGCCAGCTGGGATATGGTTACAGCTTGCGCATGGATAGTGGCTGCATGATGCTTGGATGTGTAAGTTTGCGTTGGCTAAATGCAAGTTGTGCAAATGCTAGTATCAAACACGTTGGTGAAAGTTAGTGGCTTCTGGTGACATCTTTGTTGCCGTATATTTTGAGAGTGTGGATTAAAAATGTCTGGGAAGTCAAGCTGGCTGCTGCTCAATGCCATCAAGAGATTGTGCCATAGCTGCAGTTCAAGTCTGAGATTCCCACACCGGGCATCGACATTGCTTGTAATTTTGACGCGTTGTTCTTCCTTCCGTGCCTGTTTTGTGTTGATATGATGAGCGCCGCCCTCAAAACACATCGTTGACCAAGGCAACCAGGTCTGCTTGGAGTGCCGCTTCCGCAAATGGTGCGAGGAAGCGCCCGGTATGGCTGTGTATGATGCTGAAGAACTCGACCACGCCGCTTGGGTCAACTACCCTGCCGGTCAAGTCTATGTTCGAGAAGTCCCTCCGCCCTTGATGGTGACTTGCAGCCTGAGTCACATCGAAAACGATGACTTTGAGGCCGTCTTCACGACAATGGCCGGCGCGCGGCTCTTACGCATCCCTGGGGTTTCGAACCCTTCCTCCAGCATGGAACAGCTTGCGGCTGACGCTGCCTGTGCCGCTGTAGCCCAAGGGCTTCTGCAGAGCCGCAACCGAGAAGTATGCGCTTTGCTGGACGGGCAGACCGAGCCGCTGGGCATCCTCACCGTCCCAGATTTCTTTTGGGACAAGTTGACGAAGCCGCGGGATGCAGTAGAGTGACATGGAGCACGGCATGCGCTATTTGATGGTATACGGAAAAGAAGCAGCTATGTGCACGTGCCTGCTTCGTCCTCTTGTTGTTCCAGCAATGCAGCTTTGCGCATGAATGCAAAGCATGAGCAACGGTCCATGTGTGTGCTCCTAGAGAAACCTTGCAATGCCCGCTGAGGTCCTTTGTAATCCTTGGAAGCTTTGGAGCTGCGTCGCCGAAAGAGGATCCAGAGGTCGCTTCCATGTGACTTGTTCTTGCAAGATCTTTGGAGATGAGTCATGTAGCGTTTTTTTCGATGCTCCCTATTCTGAAAGATGGTTTGGGAACAAAAACTTATACATAGGCCTGCTGTCTTTGTTTTATTTCATGCCCCATCTGTTTTCCGAATGTATTTGCCGGGGCATTGCAGAATGAAGCCATGCCTGGACCAGTGTCAAGAAAGCTTGGGCTTCCTGCCGAGGCGGATGACAGCACCTGCAACCAGAAGCCCCGTTCCTGGAATATAGAGGCTCGAGATGCTTGCGCGTCGTTCACTGCCAACGGAATCTGAGCAGAGCGTTTTACATCACTTGAATCATGTTTCGACTGTGGCCAATATCAGTTTGCAGTTGGCGTCCATGCGCATGCCTGCCTGTATGTCCATCGGTATGTTTGCCGCCTACTTTTGTTTCTTCCTTTCCGTGACAGTTCGGACGCTGACCCGAGCATTGCACGTCGTGCTTTTTCTTCCATTGCCTCATTGACCCGCAGCCGTTTGAACATCGCAAATTCGGTTTGAGAGCCAAGACTGTCCACATCATACAACCACGCACACACACACATGCATACAGAATATGATGACACTACCTACATGCCTGTTTCAACTTTGACATGTTTTAATTGCTATCCAGCCTGCTGGCCTCTACTGGGCTTCAGTGGGCTTCTGATCTTTGCTGCCATGCCGCCCTGTCAGCGTTGCGGCCTTGGCAAGAGGAGCGGGAGAGGCCGCGGCTGGTGCAGCAACCAAGCCTGCAGAGAGGCCGAGAGAAAGGAGAAGGAGGACGCCAAACTCCCTGTGCTGCCCCCCTGCGACCGCTGTGGCAAGAAGAAATCTGGTAGAGGACAAGGCCACTGCGAAGACAGCGCTTGCAGAGAAGGGAAGAGAGAGGAGCAGCAAGCAGCCAAGCGCTTGCGACAAGAGGAGCGGGCAGAGAAAGGAGCCGGTGAGCGAGGACCTTGCCCAGGGGAAGGCGCGGCCGGCCCAGGGCGGCCCGTGGACACGGAGGAGGCACGGGCGCAGAAGCTGGAGGTAGTGCGCGGGCCGCCTTTCTTTGGCGATGACAACTTCGAGGCGGTGAAGGAGTCCTACGGCAAGTGTCTGCGTGCGTGGGGCCGCTTTGGCTTGTCCAAGGCCTGCGAAGAATGCTCCACGCTGACTCCAGCGAGGTATTGCTGCCTGTCCAGAGCCATGCAGAAACAGGCTTGCAAGAATTGCCGGGAGAAGAAGACCAGCTACAAGTTGCCTTCTTTGCCCCCCATCCCACCGACCTTGGCCGCCCTATCCTATCTGGAGCGCCGGCTGCTGGCCATGGCCAAGGTGGACCAGACGCTGATTGACAAGCTGCCTTCCGGTGGGCCGAGCGCGCAATGGGGGCGGATGTATATCGTGCCTCACGACGAGCCTTCTCTTTGCAATGTGTTGGAGGGGGCGGAGCTGCGCGAAGATGGTGCAGTCTACGTGGAGAGCGTGCAGGGGATGCTGGCTTCTACAGCGCGTTTGCAGTACCTGCAAGCCGCCTTGCAAACCTTGAAGGCCCAGCATCAAGCTTATCAAGACAACGCCGCTGTGGACGCAGCCTTGGCGACCATGGCGCGCATCCTGGCCCAACTTCCTGCCGCGCTACCAGACGACCGCGAGGAGGACGAGGGCACCGAGGAGCAGTTGGAGGTGACGTATTTGATGCCGCGCGACTATTTTCAATAGATTTTCAATAGCTTCAATAGCTCGGTGCCATCGCAGGTTCCTGGATCCGCTGCGCACCACTGCAAAGCATGTCAGCTGCAGTGGACACCCCGCAGTGGCCGGTGCGAATGCGGCCGAGACGTGGAGGCGTGAAATGGGCCATGACTCTGAGCTATTCAGAAGGTATTCAGCAACTATTTGGAACCTATTTAGCAGCTATTTAGAACCTATTTAGTAGTTATTCAGCAACTATTTAGAAGCTATTTTGCAGCTAGCTAGCTGCTATTGAGAGGCTACTCAGCAACTTTTTAGAAGCTATTTAGAGGCTATTCAGCAACTTTTTAGAAGCTATTTAGCAGCTAGCTAGCAGCTATTTAGAAGCTATTCAGCAACTATTTAGAAGCTATTCAGCAACTATTTGGAAACTATTTAGCAGCTAGCTAGCAGCTATTTAGAAGCTATGGTGGGCCATGTGGGGACTATGTTGGGCAGCTTGGGGCTATCTGGGGGAGTATGGCAGCGATTGTTTGAAGGCCATGCAGCCATTTTTTGACAAGCGGCTTGATACCGTTGCCGCTATATGTTAGATATGGCAAAGCGTGATGGTACTAGAATGCGTGTCGCAATCAGTAGTTTATCGCATGCATATGATGTTGGCAGGGCATGCGTTCCGTTCTGATGGTACTCATCTGACACCTGCGGGCATTGCCTTCTTCCTTGACGCTGTGCGCCCACTGCTGGAGGCTGTTGCACCTTTTCACAAGCGGTCATGCAAGTGTTGCTGGGTATGCTTCATGAAGAAGTGGGCCTAGTGATCGGCGATTCTTCCCTATGCGCGGTCATGCCTGAGGTATTTTTCCCATGCTGTAAAGGCTGAGACGTTCGCCGCTATGCGATGGCTATGCTTTTTCTTTGGCAGGATGAGTTGGACCGCGATAACGCTGGGGCCATTGCGGCTGACCTGCTGCTAGCTCCAGTGGCACCTGCTTGGGGAAAAGGTTTTGCGGAAACCCCCCCAACCATCGCAATACTTTGCGCGGGTAGTGAGTGTGACTTTTGAATGTGTATAGTCATTGTTGGCCCGCTGCTTTTTCTGATCAGGGAATGATCTCTATGGTCGGTAGTGCCCTGAAAAAAAATGCTGCTATGATCAAATTAGAAAGGTGCTGCTACACCATTGTCAATATCGACTGTATACGCACATGACCATTTGCCAAAAATAGTTGACAGAAGTTTTGTACTAGTTGTTGATAACTAGTGTGAATCTAGTGGTTTTTCCTCTTCGTTATGAGGGGGCACGCAACTAAATACTAAATTCACCAATTCTGCAAGGCAGCGCCAGCAAACCCGCTAGGTTTGCGCTAGTTTTGTTTTTTTTTTTACGTCCGTGTTCAATGATTTGTGTATGCGTTGCTGACTGCTTGGTATTTCAACATGAAGACTAGACGACGGATGGCCCGAGAGCGTAGACGAGCAAAGTCTTCTGTTGCTAGTATGGAGACACTAAATTACAAGACAATATATTGAAGATGTATTATAGGCAGACGAGAAGAGTAGTTTCAAAACAATATATCACAAGTACAAGACAATAGTTTGCATCGTATCTTTCGTAAAGTTGCAGACAGACGCTTTTACACACAGAACTGTTTACAGACAGACGCTTTTATTATACACAGAGAGGCTTTTACACACGGACGCTTTTACACACAGAGCTTTTACACACAGACGCTTTTACACACAGACGCAAATACACACAGAGACTTTTACACACAAACACGTTTACACACAGACGCTTTTACACACAGACACTTTTACACACCAACACTTTTACACACAAATATTTTTACACACAGACGCTTTTACACACAGACGCTTTTACACACAGAGACTTTTACACACAGACGCAAATACACACAGAGACTTTTACACACAAACACGTTTACACACAGACGCTTTTACACACAAACACTTTTACACACAAACACTTTTACACACAGAGACTTTTACACACAGAAGCTTTTACACACAGACGCTTTTACATACAAACCCTTTTCCACACAAACACTTTTAAACACAAACACTTTTACACACAAACACTCTTACACACAGGAGCTTTTACACACAGACGCTTCTACAGACAGAGACTTTTACACACAAACGCTTTTACACACAGACGCTTTTACACAGAGACCCTTTTACATACAGACGATTTTACACACAGACGCTTTTACACACAGACGCTTTTACACACAAACGCTTTTACACACAGAGACTTTTACACGCAGACGCTTTTACACACAGAAGCTTTTACACACAGAGACTTTTACACGCAGACGCTTTTACACACAGACGCTTTTACACACAGACGCTTTTACATTCAGACGCTTTTACACACAGACGCTTTTACACACAGAAGCTTTTACACGCAGAAGCTTTTACACACAAACACTTTTACACACAGACGCTTTACACACAGACGCTTTTGCACACAGACGCTTTTACATTCAGACGCTTTTACACACAGACGCTTTTACACACAGAGGCTTTTACACTCAGAAGCTTTTACACGCAGAAGCTTTTACACACAAACACTTTTACACACAGACGCTTTACACACAGACCCTTTTACACACAGACGCTTTTACACACAGACCCTTTTACATACAGACTCTTTTACACACAGACGCTTTTACACACAGATGCTTTTGCACACAGAGACTTTTACACACAGGCGCTTTTACACACAGACGCTTTTACACACAGACACTTTCACACACAGCCGCTTTGACACACAGACACTTTTACACACAGAAGCTTTTACACACAGACGCTTTTACACACAGAAGCTTTTAGACACAGACGCTTTTACACGCAAACACTTTTACACACAAACACTTTTACACACAGACGCTTTTACACACAGTCGCTTTTACATACAGACACTTTCACACACAGCCGCTTTGACACACAGACACTTTTACACACAGACGCTTTTACACACAGACGCTTTTACACACAGACACTTTTACACACAGACACTTTTACACACAACACTTTCACATACAGAGGCTTTTACACACAGAAGCTTTTACACACAGGCGCTTTTACACACAGACGCTTTTACACACAGAGGCTTTTACACACAGACGCTTTTCCACACAGAGACTTTTACACACAGACGCTTTTCCACACAGAGACTTTTACACACAGACGCTTTTACACACAGAGGGTTTTACACACAGACGCTTTTACACACAGACCCTTTTACACACAAACACTTTTACACACAGAGACTTTTACACACAGACGCTTTTACACACAGACGCTTTTACACACAAACGCTTTTACACACACACGCTTTTACACACAGACGCTTTTTACACACAGACGCTTTTTACACACAGACACATTTGACACACAAACACATTTACACACAGAGGCTTTTACACACAAACACTTTTACACACAGACGCTTTTACACACAGACGCTTTTACACACAGACGCTTTTACACACAGAAGCTTTTACACACAGACTCCTTTACACACAGAGGCTTTTACACTCAGAAGCTTTTACACACAGGCGCTTTTACACACAGAAGCTTTTACACACAGAACTTTTTACACACAACACTTTCACACACAGAGGCTTTTACACACAGAAGCTTTTACACACAGGCGCTTTTACACACAGACGTTTTTACACACAGAGGCTTTTACACACAGAAGCTTTTACACACAGGCGCTTTTACACAGACGCTTTTACACACAAACGCTTTTACACACAGACGCTTTTACACACAGAAGCTTTTACACACAGACTCCTTTACACACAGACGCTTTTACACACAGACGCTTTTACACACAGAAGCTTTTACACACAGACTCCTTTACACACAGACGCTTTTACACACAGCAGCTTTTACACACAGTAAAATTGCAATTTTACCTCAGTTTTTAACGTCCAACGTCCATTTCGTGCGTAAGGGTTGCGAATAACAAAGTAAAGTCGCAATTTTTCCCCAGTTTTTGACGTCCAACGTCCATTTCGTGCGTAAGGGTTGCGATTGACAAACTAAAGTCGCAATTTTTCCTCAGTTTTTGACGTCCAAGGTCCATTTCGTGTGTAAGGGTTGCGATTGACAACTCAAAGTCGCAATTTTTCCTCAGTTTTTGACGTCCAACGTCCATTTCGTGCGTAAGGGTTGCGCGGGACTAAGTAAACTCGCAATTTTACCTCAGTTTTTGACGTCCAACGTCCATTTCGTGCGAAAGGGTTGCGCGCGACACCTCAAAGTTGCAATTTTTCCTCAGTTTTTGACGTCCAACGTCCATTTCGTGCGAAAGGGTTGCACGGGACGCTTCAAAGTCGCAACTTTTCCTCAGTTTTTGGCGTCCAACGTCCATTTCGTGCGAAAGGGTTGCAATGGACAAAGTAAAATCGCAATTTTACCTCAGTTTTTGGCGTCCAACGTCCATTTCGTGCGAAAGGGTTGCGTTTCGTGGCGCTCCGGCGGCACCGCCCCCGCCTTAAGAGAGAATAGAAGAAGAGCGAGAGGAGATCTGCAGATGTGAAGGGGTGAAGATGTAGATCGGCAGATGTGAGAGTGTGAAGATCTAGATCTGCAGGTGTGAGGGTGTGAAGATCTAGATCTGCAGGTGTGAGGGTATGAAGATCTAGATCTGCAGATGTGAGGGTGTGAAGATCTAGATCTGCAGATGTGAAGGTGTGAAGATCTAGATCGGCAGATGTGAGGGTGTGAAGATATAGATCTGCGGATGTGAAGGTGTGAAGATCTAGATCTGCAGGTGTGAGGGTGTGAAGATCTAGATCTGCAGGTGTGAGGGTGAAGATCTAGATCTGCAGATATGAGGATGTGAAGATCTAGATCTGCAGGTGTGAAGGTGTGAAGATGTAGATCAGCAGATGTGAAGGTGTGAAGATGTAGATCGGCAGATGTGAGAGTGTGAAGATCTAGATCTGCAGGTGTGAAGGTGTGAAGATCTAGATCTACAGGTGTGAAGTGTGAAGGTGTGAAGATCTAGATCTGCAGGTGTGAAGGTGTGAAGATCTAGATCTGCAGGTGTGAAGGTGTGAAGATCTAGTATAACGGCTGCTTTTTTACGAAGAACCCTTCGCAGGCGCTCTCGGGAAAAAATGATATGACACTTAGCGCCTTAAACCTAATTAAGGATGTCTTTAGTGAATTTCTGCGCTAGTCAACCATTTTCCTATGTTTTGAAGTTTGTCGTTCAATTTTGCGAATTCATACGTAATTTTACCCGCTAGATCCCCGCTAGCAATGCGCTAGCAAAAGTTGCAAAAAGCGGCTTTGGCTGATCCGTGACCCAGTCGCCGTCAGAGAACTTGAGTTTATCCTTTCTGTTTGACAGAAGCAACAGTGCCAGCAAAGGCAACGACAAGCCGTGCAGCAGATGAGCAAGTCTTGAATTTCCACGACTAATAATTAGCAGCGGCGCCCACTCCATATAGATGCGCGTTAGCATTCCCTGCAGGTTTTAGCTTCGGTGTCAAACACAAAAGATAAAATGCACGGTTTCAGACTATTAAGATAAGCCATATTTTTTAAAATTAACTATGAAGTGGCACACATGGAATTACGATTTATCAACCAAACCAGACACAGACATTCTGACAAACCGTCACATGCGCGTGTGGTTTCCGATCTTGTTTGCCAACTCGAACAGGATTGGAAGGGCTCTTCTGCTCGGCTGCTCTATGTGGATGTAGTCCCGCATAGTGATAAGTCGCACCATCCTTGCGACCTTGTGGTATCATCATGCACCATAGCCTTAGCAGGTCTGAATGATCAGGTAATTCCACGGGACATAAGCTGAGCATGTGTTTGCTGCAGCGCCCCGAAGCCGCATGGTAGATATATGGCCAGGTGCGAAAACAAAAAGCGCTGTGGATAGTGTTGTTGGCACTTATGATTCTCCATGCGGCGCGTATATAGTAGATTGGTTTCCCCTGAAATCATGTGCCCGCCACTTGCTTGCGTGTGTTTCGTGTGCATGACAGTCGGCTGTAGACTGACACGTGCCTTGTGACTTTGCGACTGCATCGCCTACAGCTCAGCCTTGCTTCTATTTTATTTTGTTGTGTTGCAATGACGCACGACAAGTGCACAAGAAAAGACGCGGCGCCGGAGACGGTCAAACAGCAACGGTTGCCCCGAAACATTTCCACAGAGGGCTTGCAGGACCAGCGCGCATATCTCATGAACAGCGCGCCTCGAAAAAAATCAGATACACACGCAACATCAAAGCGGTTCATTATGTTGATATATGTTGATCACTCCAAACAAGACATTGTTCTTATCCAGTATGTAATCACCATGAGCCACCGCGACCTCTTACCAAGGCATCAGAAAAGGCACAAGCGCTGGCCGAAGCAACTCACAAAGAGTTACAACGCCGTGCTTCCATCGCAGAATCTACGGACTGATGGTTGATAGTCGTTGAACATCAAACGAGCAAACCACCCCATGAGGTGTCTAAGCACATGCGTTTGCGTGACAGCTTGCCTCACCACTGTGAGTGAAAGGCGTAAATGCGAACAAACCATAGCAGTGTGCACTTGCTGTTGCAATTTGGATCACTGTGACTGAAAGGCATACTTACACACAAACCACATGTGTTTGCATGTGCTGATGCATATCAACAGCCGGCACCCGACTACATGTGCACATGCTCGTGCTGACTATGTATGTTTGGCTGCTCTGTGTTCTCCATTGTAATTGCGCTTGTCTTGTCTTTGTTATTGTTCGCTCTTCTTGGATTGGTTGTGAAAGCAATGATTATTGCAGAGGCGCAGCGCTGTTCTCTGGTGTGTAGATTGCTTGATTGCGTTCACGTTACCGGAAGACATGACGGTGGAACGCCGATGCTATGATACTGACTGATGTTGTGCCGGTGCCTAAAGCTCACATATCATGTGGTCGGGGTATTGCCTGTCTGCCTTCTTGGTGTGCCGTACAGGCCAGCCGAACAGAACTCAGCAGCCCAGAAACAGAATGGGGCGGTTCCGAAACAGGAGCGGAATCCGACAATACGGATATCCAACAGCAGGCAAGATGCACAATAGCCATCATCGAGATCAGCGATGGTGAGGCGCCGCCAAGTTGAGATCAAGCTTTGCGAGCTCTTCGCCCAGGCCTGTTGATGCTCACGCTTAAATTTGTGAAATGCCTTCAGCCTACTTCTAAAGAATTTTAAACAAATAAAAAAAGCGAAAACTAATCCAAAAAAAAGCAAAACCCAATCCAAACCCCAATTTGAAAAAAACAAAAAAAATGCAAAAAAAAAGCGAACTCCAATCCAAACCTCAATTAGAAAAAAGCAAAAAAAAACAAAACCAAAAGCAAAAAAAAACAAACTATTTGTTTTCATTTTTTTTTCGTTTTTTTTTTCGCTTTGTTTTTGTTTTTTGCTTTGTTTTTGTTTTTTTTTCCACCTTTGTTTTCGCATTTTTTTTGTTTTTTTCTTTCTCAGGTGACCTGATGACCGGGACCTTCAAAAATGTAAGAAACTCGTGGAAAAAAACGAAAAAAAAACGAAAAAAAAACGAAAACAAAGCGAACAAAAAACGAAAAAAAAACGAAAAAAACACGAAAAAAAACGGAAAAAACAGTGAACACAAATAGTTTGTTTTTTTTGCATTTTTTTTCTTTTTTTTTTATTTGTTTTTTTCTAATTGAGGTTTGGATTGGAGTTTGTTTTTTTTTGCATTTTTTTGTTTTTTTCTAATTGAGGTTTGGATTGGGTTTTGGTTTTTTTTTGGATTGGTTTTCGTTTTAAGTTCAATTTATTTTTCTATCGTTTTATAGAAGTTGCCTGTAAGCCGTGTCACAATCTTAAATGTTTGTTCCGCAACGCTAGGTCAACTGGTGTGTTTTTCAGCAGTTCCGCAACGTTTTAAGCAGTTCGGCTTCGCAGTCAGAAAACTTGCAAGTTCCAAATGGTGCTATGACTGACACCGAACCGTGCCACTAAACATCACCAGCTTTCCAAGCAAACCAATGAACGCAGCAGAATTCAACGCAATTTGTATGTTCTGCGAGGTTGTTTGGTTCTTTTTCCTTGGTTTGCTGCTCTATGAGGGGCGCTGGGGTGATCATTGTATAGCATCAAGGCCAAGGCTGTGATCCACAAGTAAGAGAAGCCAAGCTGTCGCCGAACATCCCAAAAACCACTTGCTTGAGTAGCTTCTATGCGTGCATCAACCCTTTTAGTGATCATTGCCTCAGCAGGTCATGAGCAAGCTATTAACCGGACAAATGCAACAAACAACTGTAGGCCAGATTAGTTTTAGAAGTATTGCTTGATGTGAGGACGCCTTGCGCAAGTGCTGTCAGGTGTGTACTTCAGCGTCTAACACCCCAAAAATACTTCAGTAAGATGAACGATTCACTTAGACAGCGAATCCCCCCACACTTAACCAACACCTGCCACACTTAACCGACACCGGCTGTTAGAGAATGTTTTCCATCTAACGAGCGAAGGGTGTTTTAGATAGCACTGGCGCGCTGTTCGATAATGTCATCATCTAACCGGTGAAAATCATTATCTAAGAAGTGCGGAGGGGCAAAAATGTGCATCCTGTTAGATGAAGGTCAAAACGGGTTAATCGCGAGGCCCTCCGGTTAGATAAAAAGGGTTTTCGTTGGAACAAAATGTGTTTCGGTTAGGTTTTTTGGCATCCGGTTCAATACACTATGATAGCATCCAATGCCATTATTTAGACCCAACACGGTTGTGTTTTAACCTATATTCTACATGTTCACCAGGTGCACGTTATGCATGGAAAAATTGATTGAAACCATTGAAAAATCAATTGAACCCAGGGCAAACTCAATGAAAACTATATATAGAAAAATCGATGAACATTTTGGGTAAATCAATGAACACCATGGAAAAAACGATGAACGCTGCAAATGGCAAATTTTAGTTCCAAAATTCAGCAAAGTACAGGTTTTTGCTCCAAAATGTAGCAAATAGCAAGGACAAGTGCCCCAGACTGAAAAACAAAAAAAACACACCACAAATAAATTGCCAAAAAAATCTGCACCCTTTAGATCTTGTTCACCATAAAATTGTCAACTCAGTTGTCGGTTCTTTGGTGGATTGTGTATGTGACCAAGGCGATGGGTCCGGTGCATGCTCCACTTTTCCCGGAGCCGAAGTTTGAGGAGTGGTGGATCTTTCTGGCAGATGGCCCCAGTGCACAGGTTCAGCAAGGGGGATGCAATCCCCAAAAACTGTAAACTATGGGAGATGTTGGGTTAGAGGTTAGATCCAACTTAACTCAATCATTTATTGCTGCTCTTTCTGTGTAGGGAAGCATTGATTACATCAGCAGCTCGAGGAACAGCCATCTTTCATGGATGACCTGAGGTGGAGGGTGCTCCCAACACCCGCATTATCGCCTTTGAGCACGGCCCCAAGATGGATCCAGCGACACGGAGTTTTGCTCCTATGGGACAGCCTTGAAATTTGCATGACTATGCAATGGCAAAGATGCATTACCATGCATTACATGGATAATATATGACAATATCCTCAAGAAACGGTCTATCGGAGTCTATCGCATCAATGCCGCCCCAAGGATATCTGACATGGAAGTCAAAAAAACTAGCCATGTTCAATGAACTTATCATTTCTTTGATCATATGGATGGGTCAAAACGTTGGTACGCAGATGAAGATCAACATAGCTGTAGCTACCAAATATTGGTAAATAAATGTTCAATGATGTTCATTCCCCCAGATATGGCATTATAATGCATTATATTATAGGCAAGTATAGTGTATATGATAGGATATGATAGGATATTATAGGATATTATTACAGGAACCGACAGAATTATGGAAAAAAAAAACGTTTCAATTTACAGGCGCCGCCTGTCTATGATAGAAAAGTTACGAACCTTTTTTTTCCATAATTATTTTTTCCATAATTATTTTTTTTCCATAATTCTGTCGGTGACTGTATGTCCATCGATTCGCAATTTGCATGCATTTTAAGGGGGAATATTGAATTATAGAAAATATGTGTCTAAAGATCTGGTATATGCCCTAAGTCTTCCATTGATATACATAATATCATGTGATGTTCGCAATTTGAATGCATTTTAAGGGGGAATATTGAATTATAGAAAATATGTGTCTAAAGATCTGGTATATGCCCCTAAGTCTTCCATTGATATACATAATATCATGTGATGTTCGCACTTTGAATGCATTTGCATACATATTTCCATAACCCCCAAAAAAAAGGGGTTTGAATTGTGGATCCATGACATGTCCAACAGGTGGAGCCCCAAACATTAATTATGGAAAAAATAATTATGGAAAAAATAATTATGGAAAAAAATAATTATGGAAAAACCGGTCAATCTGCCCTAGCCCCCTGATTTTACAGGAAAAATCAATTATGGAAATAATGGCCACCTCCAAGAATTATGGAAAAAAAAGGTTCGGATCACTTCCGGGATATTTTGAACCCTTATGGGGAAAAACCTAATTATGGAAAAATCGGACGCAGGCGCCGCCTGTCTAAGTTGAACGTTTTTTTTTTTCCATAATTCTGTCGGTGACCATATACATTATCTTCTACATTATATTCTACATTATAGATTATCATTTTGTTATACATGATATTATCTATATAATTATATAATACATTATATTTATATTATACATTATAGTAAAGCTACAGTTTATAGTAATTAATGGTTACAGTATTGTTATTGATCCATCACCACCAACCTGCAGCCCGCCTAACCGCACCATTCCAGGCGCATCCGCGACACTGAACGGCTGATCGAAGCCAAACTGCGCTTCCAGGCCCGTCATTAAACACCCCATAAATGGTCCCAAGTATGTGGAAATATGTGGAAATTCCCAACAAAAAAACATGGTTTCGTTTAGGGGGTGTTTAAGATTTTTTGGGGAAGGGATGAGCATTGGGATTTCATCATGAAACACTGAGGGGTTTTTAGATTACCATTCAGAAATTCGGCACCGCCAATTTCGTATGTTAAGCTTCGCCCATGTCTTGAAAATGTCATTCCATGTCAAGTGTCAAACAATGACTTCAGTGTACCTCCAAAGTACTGCAAATTGACAGTCAACTCATAGACCATGTATTTCATGGGTGCTTGACCTTAGTCCCGTTGCAGATCTCGCGGCCGGGCAAGCACAGCTTGACGGTGCACGCGCTCTGCGACTCCTATGTGGGGATCGACAAGAAGGTTGGGCGGTGGCTGAAAAGCCATGGATGCTGAGAGATGGTGCTGGAGGAAAAACCCCACGGGGATGGGACAGACAAGATAGATCAAGATTGGAGATGGGTGATTTTGGATATCCGATAAGTAAGTCACCACTGTACAAAGGTCAAACAAGTCACTTCAAAAGTTGCCATGTCTTTCCCAAGCTCCAACCTGACATTATGCTTGAGTTGTGGCAAGGTGGACTTGAACTTCAACGTGAGTACAGAGGATGAGGTCTGACAGTGCTGTCTGCAAAGTTTGCATTTACCATCGAGTACTCAACTGTGGCTAGCTGGGAAATCGCACATAAATGGAGGCTTTTATGGGATAAACATCTTTCAATGGGGGAGTAGCATCACTTGATCCTATCATTTTTCCCCTGCGTTTGTGTGGCAACTTGTTTGTATCTAGAACCGATGATTGAAACTGATGATCCTGCTTGACTGTCGGCAAGTATGTGATGCTGCAAGATCGGTGCGACATCTCTGAACGTCCCAAGTTCTTTCATGCTGGCAGGTGAAAAGAGAAATTTTTGTTCATCCTGAGGATGAGGTCAGAGCCTTCGTTGATTGCATCATTTCAACAGACTGCTTTTTTCCCATCGGACTGTGTGAAGCCACTCGAAGAATATGAAGCCGGATGACTCGGGAAAACACTGATGTTTCCAACTTTGCAGAACCACCAAACCCGTGGTATGACTATTCGGAAAGCTGTTGCTGTATCCTCTACCAACTTTTCAGTCTTCTAGTACTGTAGGTAGAATGACCTCATAGAGCCCTAGAGACAATACAAATATTAAGGTGAATCAGAAAAAATGTCGTCGCATGTCACATTCCTGGAATTTGGCTACCTGAATTTACATCGAACTTCCCAGCCTTTTTTTGTTCCTTGTGTCTTGGTCAATCTTGGTACGTTGCTGTCGTCATGGCTGAGTGTTCTCTTTGTTGTTCCATAAGATACCATGCTAATCATGAGTAAACCACATCCCTGATGTTGTTCTGTCGAGCACTGAAACTTGGTTAGATTGGTCACGCATCTTTTAAAATCTTGACTTAGGAGCACCCTCCGATTAACACCCTCCGATCCAGCGCATCGTTTGACTGATATTTCTCGATGGAATACTCCCCAATCAACGGGGTTCAGCTTGGTGAATGATCAGATCTGTTTTTGGAGGAGCTGGACTTGCAACCCACCTTGTTCCAGCAGTTTATGGGCGAGTCTGGAGCCCAGATAGAGGATGGCTTGAAACATAGGGAAGACATATACAGGAAAATATGGAATGATTATAACGCAACCATGCTCAAATTGGGGATTTATTGTTGGGATTTATTGGGTCTACCACTATTTTGTGATGATGTTGAACATCTCAGCCAGGGTTTTACCAGAAGTTTTGGTCATTGAAACGCAGATTATATATGTCTTTTAATCCTTTGGACTGTCCAGCATTGATCCATACCAAGTACGAGGAACATTGGGTGATCATTTCAGTTCTCAACAGGGTTTGAGCCTAGTCACTTCGAAGCCAACTGAGCACATGAAAATGGTCTCCGTCCCGACTTCAACAGGACGAGTGGTCACCAATGGAATTTCACTAAACAGATCCAAACAGCCAAGTGGCTTCTTTTGCCCTGGTACAAATGTTGGTTTTCTGTGCGCCCATAGAGCATGAACCGATGGACTTGAACTCAGGGTTTCCACAGCTGGGATATATTTTCCACGTCCTTCCAAACGGTGTCTTCAAACTTTTTCCAACCATGTTTTCCATGGTTTTCCGTTGTGGAACTCCTTGTTCCAGCTGTTGGACGACTTACTTGGATAATCTTGGATAACTAGCCATCTCAGTCAGTGATGTACATAGTGTCGTAGTGGTTGAAACATAGCCTAAACCATGTCATCTGTGCATCTGACTGGGTTGCCCCCGTCTCCCACTATAGTTGGGAGACGGGACTCTGAATCCAAGTTCCAAGGTGTTCCAAGTTTTTTTTCGTCGTCTTTTGCCCAGGCTGGGTGGTGACGATGATAGCGAAGAGGAGGAGGATGAGAAAAAGGAGAAGACCAAACCTGTGGAGAAACTCAGCGACGGGAAGCAGCAGAAGGCCGAAAAAACGGGATGCCGCGAACCGCCATGGCTCGGAAATGGGCTGCCAAAGAGCACAATGGAAGGGTTCTATGATTTTTCTACTGCAATTGTTGTTGGGGTAAATCACATTACGAACTTCATTTTTATGATTTTTCATGCGGAATATGCGGATGTGTCAAGTCAAGATGTGTCAAGATGGCCATGGACCAATGGATGAATCATGGCTGAATCTATGGGACCTGATCGGAGACTCTCTCCGAGAAATGCCAGGCAGAGAGTGACGATGACAAGAAGGCCGACCTGCGATGCTGAAGACTTTGAAGTGCCATAGGATGCTTTGCGAAGTGTACCCTCTGGTAAACATACAAAAAGCTATGGAAAATCACCATTTTCAATGGGTAAATCCACAATAAATGGCAATTTTCAATAGCTATGTTAGATTACCAGAGGGTATGTGCTTATGTAACTGATTGGTGGTTTGGACCATGAATTTTATGACGTTCCATATTGGGAATGTCATCATCCCAACTGACTTTCATATTTTTCAGAGGGGTAGGTATACCACCAACCAGATAGGTTTGTTCAGGAGTTCATTGAGTCAACCCACACTTGTCGGATGGTAAAAGGTTGGGGGATATAGCCAACTCAATATGGGGGGTATTCACCAAAAACATCTAAGAACTATATAAATACATATACATCTATGATGTCAACTGTATACTGTATATATAATATACATATAGTCATACATAGTCAACAATATATATATATATATATATATATGATATAATTTTTCCCACACAATAACCCACTCACTAGTTTTGCCACCAATGACGTCGATCCATCACATGGAACCACTCCGGGCCCATGGCCATGCCGATGCCAGGATGGTGACGACAGCGACTCCAGCGACAGCGACTCTGATGGGGATTGACCGACGAAAATTTCAACACCTGATGTGTCAGACTTGAAGGGTATTCCACACCAAAAAATAACAGCAGAAATAAACTAAACTTTCAAAGTTTAAATAAATTTGATACCTACCACCCCCCAAAGAAGCAAAACTTGAGAGTTTCTGAGACAGTTTTACAACATGAACGGTTTGAAGATTGAGGAGTGTTTTTCCTCTTGACCACCAGCCTCCCGTTGTGCAGCGGCGAGAAACCTCTGCCAGCTTGTGGGCAGCGGCAGAAAAAAGCTGGAAGTGGTGAAACCACACACCAACTGCTATCAGCTGCGTAGTGTTTGGGTGGATGATACATTTATACTTTATACAGAACCTGAGCGTTTACCAACACGCTTCCGAATACTGTGTAATTTGGTTCCCATTAAAAACCCCCTTCCCCCGGACAGAGTGAACGAATCTGATCAAATTCTGCCTGACCCAACCGAGAAGGGTGGAAACAATCAAAACCCCTGATCCCCCGAGGATTTTGGTCATTTTTTCGACGGGATTTTGCTGAACCTTGGGGACATCAAACCATTCAATATGGTGATACCGCTCCATCGACGACTTGGCTCAAGCTGAAACGCTGACACGCTTCCAGGATGCCTGGGCCCTAGGTATCTTCCCTGAAACCAGGGCGGAGGGTGTGTCTAGAAATTGTGTATTTTCCCCATTTGGGCGCAAATGTGGTTGGTGTTTCCCCATGTTTCCCCATCATTTTCAGACAGATCCGATCCATTGATGTTAAAAATGACCTCCATTTGAGTAATCTGCATGGTTTACTGTAGATTTTCCAAGGATTTCCCTCTAAGCAATCCTGATTGATGTTGGTTGTACTTGGTCATGCCCTGTCCACTTTTCCCCACCTTTGATCATCTCAGTAGGTCGCAAGTGCACGTCTCGGACAGCGTATTCTGCCATCGACACCGATGGAAGGTGGGACTTATGTCACACAGCTCTTAGGATTCCATGCATGTTTCATACAAAATGGGTGATAGGATGCGATAGGAGGGTCTTTCATTCTCAGATCCTGACATATCTATACATATCTCATCAAATTGGGTAATTAATTACCAATGGATTAACAAGAACCAAATCACCACCATGCCCCACAAAAATCCAAAGGGATCGAACGCCTGCAGGTGGGTTTGCTTCACCTGGTGGATGAAAAATGGAAGAGTGAGGCTATGCTGCGAGAATTCTGGGTTTTAGATCCTCCTGTGGAGCCCCCAAAACTTGAGACAGAATTTTATGCCCTCCCAGAAGGCAGAAAACAGACGTTCTTCACATGGGTTTGTCTGAAAATAGGGTATATTCCCAATGAAATAGCCATTTCATAGGGATTTTGTGATCAGCAAAACCATTGGGTTTAGGGGTACACAACAGACACACCCACATCTTTCCAAAAACATCATGAAATCACTCAGACGCCTGGATCTCGGAAGGCGCTGCCGGAGGATGACTTGGTCCTTCCAGAGGGACACCACATCAACTTGGACGAATCCGAAGAGAAGTCCCCCGAGGACGCGCGTGCGGAGGAACGATGGTCCCTTGGACCCATCTGGACCCAGACGAAATTCCCTGGAGCTGGGGGAGATGTTCCCTGGAACTTCCAAGAAATCAGAAAAATTGTTGTTCTTTTGGGGAACCTTCACATCTTTTACATAGTTGTATAGAGATTCTACTGTACCTTCCTAGCCATATGCAGCATCCATGATTACCATACCCTTCCAGTGCTTTACCGCAACATTCATTGCCTCCTTTTGGCACTTTGCAGAGTTGGCGGAGCTGAGGTGTGAGCTTCCCTTGACTCATTTCTTGGAGGAGGAGGCTGAGGCGTGGAGATCTCAAGAACTGGTGACGATTTGAGCGGAACATGCCACATTTTCATGGGATTGTGATAGGCCATTATGGATGGGATACCCACATATTAACCAGTATAACAGGATGGGATAGGTGTCTATGTGTGGGCTCATTTGGCGCTTTGTCTGAATGTATAATATTATATATACGTAATTATATATACATTATAATATATTATCCGCATTTATCCGCAAATTTGATGGTTCCTAATAATTTTCCAATTTTTAACATTGCTATTTTTTGGGCTATTATAGCAATAGCCAATTTTTTGGACCAACCGATCTCCGGTGAAACATGTTGAAGCAGATACAGCGGCTGCAGGTGGCAGTCGACCGGGCCACGTCCAGCTAAAGTTGCTGTGCAGCAGCCCAGGGTTGAAAAAGCCGCGCGCTGCGCATGGTGGAAACGGTTCCAGAAGATTTCAGCAGTGGTTCCTCATAGTTCCACTTCACCTATGGCAGGATGAATGAAATGGCTTGAAAGATTTTGAGCATCTTTCTGGGATTTTCTATGGCCATGATTGAAATATATTGAAATGATGGAACATGGGTAGAAACGAGTGCGCCGAATTTCAATCATCGTCCGTAGACGCGACACATCGTCAAACGCCCGTGCACCATGTTCCACCGATCCAAATTGATCTTGAGGGATCATCCCAAAGGGCGCCAACAGGGTGCTCCTGTGAACACATCGGCTTAGTATGGCTTAGTAGACCATGCCGGGGACGTCCTAACTCGCGTTAAACGAGAGCTTACACGTGGACCTGTAGCCTGGATGCTTGTGGAATCCCTGGCAGCGCATTTCGCAGTGTAGGCTACTAGGAGCCCTTGTTGAAACACCAAGCCTGTTGCTTACTACATTCAGGACCCTCCAAAACCACTCCAAAACCACTCCAAAACCACTCCAAAACCATGTTTCTTTCTACACGGAATGCCATGGAGAATGTGAAGGAAAGATTTGCGTGAAGCCTGTAAACATGGATCTGGACACTTCAAGCCATTATCATCGCAAAGCAAACATCGCGATGGCCAATTTGAAGAAACACTCAGGACGCAACAGACGCATGCAGACGCTCGCATGGATGTTCAAAGCGGCCCTTTAGGCGTGAAACATCCAACTACCAGAGGCGAGAAAAAGATAGATTAAAAGACAATCTGCAAATACCTGCACTCTATATATATATATTAACTGATTATATAATGCTATACACTTCTGTAATGGTTTCCGGATTTCCATATTCATTTTACACATCAGGGCGTGGGACCCGTTGGTTAGCGAGTCCTCACCTATCAATCTTGCGATTTGGATACACTGGGATAGGCAATTTTCAAGGGTCATATGGCCGTATTTGCGACAGACAAAAAGCGTTGGAACCCGAAAAAACCAAAAAGTTGCCAAACCCTGATATCAAAACATGTAGAGGTGCCTTCCAGCGTTTCTTTTCAACCACAGATTTGCGATCGTCGAAACATCCCAAACAATGTGTATGGCCATAATTGGTCAAACAGGGTCAAACCATGCCAAAACCATCCAAAACCACGAATCGAGTGAAACAACAACAACTTTGTCAAGACATGAATAAGTTCTTATTTTTTCCGACTTCACACCCATGTTTGGCAGGGTTCTGGGGGCTGCTTCGACCAACATCGGACAGGATTTCACCATCCGAACCCTCGAAGATCGAAGATCGGACAAAAAGCATGGCCCAGTACGTCCAAAAACATCGAAATGGCGCATTTTGAATGTATGCAGGTATGATACAGTGATGCAGATACATCAATGGCATTTTTCTTGCTATAAAGCCAACTCACTGGCACTATACTTTCTTTGGGGACCGTCGCAGTAGATGTGATTCCAGTGCAAGTGACGTTTCTGCGCTGAATCTATAATTCAGAGAAGACCAATCATTAGCAGTGTTTTCCCTTTCTTGCTGGCGCCTGCGGCCAAGGATATTTTGCCGTAACCAACCCAACGCAACCCAAAAGAATCCAACCAAACCTAACCCAGCCCAACCCACCCAACTCAATCAAACCGAAAACGCAACCCACCCCGATCCAACCCAATCCAACCCAATCCAACCCAATCCAACCCAATCAAACCCAATCAAACCCAAGCAACCCACCCGACCCAAGCCAGCTCAACCACGCCACCCAAGCCAGCTCGACCTCAACCAGCCGAAGCCAACCGAATCCAACCAAATCCACTATTACCCAGCATGACCCAACCTGACCCAGCATGACCCGACCTGACCCGACAGGACCCAACTCAACCCACCCAAATGCAAGCAAATAGCCAGATCATACCAGAGCCACCAAACCCACCCCAACCCAATCCAACGCAAAACAACTCACGCAAACCCGACCCAAGCCAACCGAACCCAACATGACCCATCCCAGCCAACCCAACCCAATCAAAACAAACCAAATCCAAACCAATCGTCTTAGTCTTAACCCAACCCAAGCCAACCAAGCCAATGGACCATAATGGACCCGACCCAACTCAACTCAAACCCAACCAACCCAAGCCAACACAACCCACAACCCAACGAACCCAACCAGTCTGAGGAGCCTAGGGTTTGCACAACCAGCTTGGGTTCAGACACTGTTCAGTTCCATGCGTTTGAATCTCTTTGGGGGGTCCTTGCGGTGAAGAACGTGAAGAGGTTCAAGAGATGACACGTTACCGAAATTGAATAGACCGAACCTGTCAAAATTATTCGGGGTATGGGTTGGATGCATGGGGAAAGGTGATTCCGGGATATTCCGGGTGCTATCAATGCCTCAAGTACTGCAAATATGAAAATCCACGCAAGGGAATGCATTTTTTTTTGTTCAGCATCTTCTGCAAAAGCAGTTAAGCCATTCCATTTTGCTGCATCGAAAGCTGTTTGATTAATTATAGTGTGCCACGTATTTATCGGATTTTACATGCAAGGGAACGTCACACAAAACAATGAACATGTGTGAATGCTTCCATAAGTCATGAACATCGTGTCGCAATGGGGTTGCGTTTAATCATTTTTTTTTGCAGGGGGGTTGATGTAACTTGCATGAAACTTTGTGATCATTGTGGCATGGCGTGACATGCATGTTTTTCAGGCAAATGTTGATTTGTTACACTTCTTGATTTGTGCGTGTCATGCTTGCGCAGGGGCCATGCTAATCTTGTTTGTAT